TCCAAGAAGTTTCAAAGCTAGCATCCCCCATCCACAACAGTTTCCTGGACATCAATTCACCCTCCATGTGGCTACATGAGACTTCTAGGCAAGATTCTTTTAAAGTTCAAAAAGAAGAAGAGGATGCACATTCTTTTCAAATATCTAATAGTCCCTGCCAGCACAATTTGTCTTGCATGTCGTCCTATAATCAGATGAAAAAAGTGAAGGAGGAAAGTCACAGCAACAATGTCACAACTTTGGTTGAGCCACATCTGAAATGCAGCAGCCCCTGGAAAGTACTGAGCCTAATCAATCTGCAGTGTGAGAGGCTTCTGCATGTAAAAGATGCGGAGGTGTCAGACCCAAAATCAGTACCATGTAACCCAAAATTGGGCCATTCAATAGACAAATCGTCGACTGCAGCACCAGATGTAGCAGATCTGGGAATCGGAGGTGACTGTGTAAGTGTGGAATGCACTTTGAGACCATCTCTTCTAATCTACGGGAGACAAGAAATCCCACAGGGCTGTGTGAAAGACTCCAAGGTGGGCCGCTGTCTCCAGTCACTGATCACTGAAAAAGCAGACACTTTTTCAGTGTTCAGTGTTAACAGAAATGTTGAAACAAACCAGCATTGTTTCTCTTCTGAAAACAATAATTTGCATGAGCCTTTCTCTGATCCCTATGCATGCCTAAATGCCCAGACAACTTTTAATTCAAATGCAGATACAAGTGTGGCTATGTCAAAGCGAGCACTAGACCACAATGCAAACCTTGCTCTGTCTATAGAGCCCCTATGTGACACCCAGCTGTCACCTCTGAGCTCCATCCTGCCTTCTTCACAATCAGCATCACTTTTATTTAGCAATGCAGATAAATGTCAGTCATGTGCAAAGCAAGATGACAAAATCACAGCATTTAAACCAGAACATCCAAATGCTAACATAGGGGGAAAATGCCCTCCGATTGCACTACTGCAAACCTCAAGTTTTAATGGAGAAACAAACTCCTCACATTCTGAAACATTAAAACTAGAACCCAGGTCTGTGCAAAAGGAGGAAAGTGCTGCTCCATCTACCCAGCAGTGGAGAACCAAGACTCTGAGAAAACAACTTAATCCCAGGAGAAGTGCTAATATACAAGACCCAGACTTCCAGGGAGTGACGTTCAGGATGGACACAGAGCTGGACGACAACAGGGAACAAAGTCGGCTCCTCATAACTTCAATGTACAGGTAGTGTGAAATTCATTACATGTTTGCAATGGCTTTTACAAAACAGTGATGACAAAGTTTAGTCAAACCCTTTTGATATTTATTTATTTGTTTTTGCTGCAGTAAGGAGCTCCGCAAGAGTGTGAGAAAACGGAGGCTGAGGACACGGACGTCACAGATATCCCTTAAAACCAGCAGCTCTGATGAGGAGAGTTCCTGGATGACCAGTGTTTCCAGTGAGTAACACTCGAGTGCCTCCACCAATGTCAGTTTATGCATCAGAAATGTGGAGCTCCTGCAATATTTAATTGAGTTATCTCATTATAAATTAGATAAGATAAAGTCAATTGTATTTACAGTATAACGTCCTAAATAACACGTTTGTCTCTGAAGACTTTTACATCTGTAGAACATATGACTCCATCTTCAGACCCTTGATTTAGCATCCAGAAACACACAAAAAACGTATGTGTTCGTATGTATTTGCACTAAATTCCTATTTTCTCCACTAGATGACGCCAACACATCAGATCTAGACTTTGCAGCATTCCTCAGGAAAAGCATCCTAATACCATTTTAGGCTCCAATTTGTTCCTTGAATAACCAGAATATACCAGTTATTTTCAGTATAACTTTTTTCTGAAATATAGTGTTTATTTTAAGCAAACAATCGGTTCTAACCACAAGCACTTTCTTTATTTTCTGTACACATACACTCAGTTAAAAAGTACTGTACAATAACTAAAGAGAGGTTTTCTTTCTGTCTCACCAGAGGGGAAAGTCTGTGCATCGTGCTGCACCAGGAAGACCCCGATGTGGAGGGACGCAGAGGACGGGACCCCACTCTGCAATGCCTGTGGAATAAGGTAGCTCATACCAACACTGTTGAATGTATGTCGCATCAAAATGTAATGTTAATAGTTTAGAAATATAACTTTTCTACAGTATACCTTTTTTTTGGATTGGCTTTAATGAAGATTGATGGTTTTAGTTATTATCACGAACAACAGGATCCAAAGTCTAATACCAAGATTAAGACCAGTTGACTTCATACCACAGTCTAAAGTTGTACTACTGCACTGTTTTGAGTGGTACATTTGAAAGTTAATCCATTTAAAGTGTATGAACGGCAAACATACTCTGACGGCCATATTCATCGCTTAATATGAATATGTTGATTGGCTTGTTTTCTTCTAGCCTGCATAAATAAACACCACTTTGCATCTGTGTAGCAGTGATCCTTGATTGACAATAAACTGGGACACATACATGTCATAGATAAATGCCAACAAAGAAGAAAGTTTCATTTGGCTGTCATTTTCTTCTTCACTCTTTAAGGTATAAGAAGTACAGAGTGCGCTGTGTCTACTGCTGGCATATCCCGAGGAAAGAGGGCAACTCCAACTCCTGCTGCCTCAAGTGTGGAAACTTTGTGAGGCTGACCACAGCTCAGCGCAAACAAAGCACCTAGGGAACGTACACAGTGTGACAAAGCTCTACACACATTTGCAGATTTGAACACTTTTGTCCACTACAATTAACTACAGATGGGACTGCATGAGAGAGGAGCAGCACGCAGCGTCTTATTTGACCCCGTATTTAAATTAGGTTCACTGCCACAAGGTTGCACCTCAGGCAACAGAGACAATTCCCTTTGTGTCTATGGCTGCTCTAGATGTGCTGTATACAACAGTAAACTAATCTTGAGTCTCTAAACATTTTGAGGACATCCACATTTCAATCTTTACTTCACTGATCCTATGTTTGCTACCTTCTAACCTCGTTGTAGCATGTGAGACACAATTTATTGTTGGGATTATTTTCCTCTACACAAGGAGGGATATACTGATAAGGACAGTTTGCTTTATCAATGTAGTTTTATTCCGGCCCTGAAGTGGACTCATTCAGTAGATAAGTCATAATTGTCAAACATTTAAATAATATAATAAAAAGCTGTGCCAGATTGCTGAAGTGGAAAGTTATTTCTGTACAGGACCAACAGCGGCAACTGTTGTGTTTACTGTCATCAACTGCAAAACAATTGATTTATTTTGACCTTCCCAGCTGACTGCTATGTTCATTAGTTATACACTTTAAATTAAGGTCCTTTGTCATTGTTTCTAAATATACTTGTTTTTTCCTGTTTTGTTTGTTTGGGTTTTATTGATGCACTGATTTCCTTAATATGGGTTTTGGTATGTAATAAATTGAGTATGAAACTTCCCATTTGTTTCTTGGTTCTTTGTAGGGATATTATATGAACTGCTCTTTGTATAAATCCCTGAAGAAAATTGCTGAGATTATAAAATAGTGGAATAGTTTCAGATGGATAAATATCATATTAAACTAGAGGTACAGGGAATAATTGTTCATTAACGAGACTTCCCACAGTTTCCTCAGCCCACCCTGCAGTGCAGGTCGTTTGCCAAGTGGGTGGTCTCTCATGGATTGATACAGTGCAGCTATTATTTCAAAACGCATTACGTCGTCCTCTTATTTGAAACAGCCAGTGTTGCCTCTGTGACCATGTGCCAAACCATCAATAGGAATGTTGCTATGAGCAACACCGAAGGAAATGAGCGATGTGTAAGCCAAAAACATAAAGATAGAAACGAGTTCAATAAAATGATTGTGCTTACTTTATATTAACCTTCAGCATATTTTAATGTTTACAATATCACCTGCTGTGGTAACTTCAATATCAACAGGAAACCCTGATGAATGTTTGAGCCAGAATACAACACAATAAAACATCTAGATGGCAAAACATATATGGACCAGCACATTTGAAATGCATTAAGTGTAAAGAGAGTAATGTATGCAGCTGCACTGTTTTCAGTTATGAAAAAACTGGAGATTGAAAGTAATTAAGGCCTTGTGTAACCGAGTGAAAATGTTGTATTTCTCATGCCATCAAACTGTTAAATGGTCATAATGAAATGAAAAAAATGGCTTTCACAAGGCAATGTTTCCTTATTTATTGCAAACTAAGGAGTAGTTGTGCTCGAAACGTCACATAGGTGCAATAAAAGAGTGAACATTAGAGCCTATTTATTTGTTTATTTCATGATTGCTTGTACTTTCTGCTCAGCAACTACCCTCTTTGGTTTGGATGTGCATGTCAAATCCTTGTTGAATGTTCAGGATAAGTCAATAGAGATCATGTTAACCACTCATGACTGTGTAGTGATGGCTTGATGTACACCAGGACGTATGTAATGCTGTCCCTTGATGTACATTGTGCTATGAGAGTGTGCATGTTTGTTGTTATTTCATGTGCAGATGTTGTACATCTATTCTATGTTTATCTCATATTTTAATCTGTGTGGTTTGGTTGTCACATGGCTGCAAGGTGCAAGACAAATTTCCCACTTGGGATAATAAATCAAAGTTGTAATTAAACTGTATCAGAAAAAAATAAAATCCAGAGCAGCATCTGATAATGCGTGTATAAAACGCCTTTGACATCTTTGTGATCCAAGTATAATCATTGTAATTGTCAGAGTACAATATTCATTAGCCGAAGTATTATTTAGTTAAAACCATAGACTGTAGTATTATTTAGTTAAAACCGTTACAACCTTTAGAGCTCCCTGGTCACATATGTGTCTGCTGTTGTTTTGATGAAGACAGACTTATTGCAGGAGGAGGAGGAAGAGGAGGAGGAGGAGAAGAAAGTTTAGAGTAGGCTGAAAAGTCTGGTGAGATGCGCAGCTTTTTTTGTGAATGAAAGTTGAGAAGGTGGTCTGTTCGTCATGCGAGATCATTGCCGGTCGGGGCCGAGGTGCCACCGGACCTCCGGACCATGACCTCAGACAGCAGACTCATGGATGAGCCGGACATTGACGTGGTGGGACAGACGGACGGAAGTAATGCAGATTTGTCTGTGATCAATACTCATGTTGTTGAGCAAAGCGCTTCATCCCTCACCCATGGAGCTCGTGAGGAGGAAGACTCTGCAGAGCGTCTGCAGGATAGTCCGGGCGAGAGATCCGTCCCGGTGAAGCCCCCATACTCATACATCGCTCTCATCACCATGGCCATCCTCCAGAGCCCGAAAAAGAGACTCACCCTGAGTGAGATCTGTGATTTTATCAGCCAGCGCTTTGCGTATTATCGAGAGAGGTTCCCCGCATGGCAGAACTCCATCCGTCACAACTTGTCTCTGAATGACTGCTTTATCAAAATGCCCCGGGAGACTGGGAACCCTGGCAAGGGGAATTACTGGACCCTGGACCCCATGTCGGCAGATATGTTTGAAAATGGGAGTTTTCTTCGGCGAAGGAAACGCTTCAAGAGGCCACATTTTAATTTAGGGACAATGAAGGACTCCAGGGTTAAGGAGAGTAGCCCCGTCTTTCCTCTCCTCGGGACGCACAGGATGAGTCTCCAGGGGCAGGATTTGTACCAAGATCTGGGCTTAGGAAGTGGATTTAGTCCCCTCACGAGATCTAGCATCCCACCTGTTAGCAGCGTCATACCTGCACTCTCCTCGCTCCTCTCCAAGAATTTTCCCTCATGTATAACTTTTGAACATTTCGACCCGGGACGCTGCACTGCTATCCCATCTCTGGCTCCAAACTGGCTTCAACCCCCCCTGCACGGAATGATACCCACCTACCCTGTTTCTCAGCTTTCTAATTTCCCCACTCGGATCATCAAAGTATCGTCTAATTCATTTTAATGTTTTGATTACTGTCTGTCTCCTGTAGGCCTATATCCTTCCTCTCGGCATGAGAATATGGTACATTTTAAATAAATTCAGTTTTTATAGATGGCATGCAAACAGGCCTCCAACCATATTTTTTACGTGTTTTTCAAAAACCTATTGTACAGTCCTTAAATATGTTCTAAATCATTGAATTAACTAAGTCTGAGCAAGTTTATAATTAGACACTATCAAATAATATATGTAAATACAGCAATACATATTACAACATTTTACTTTTATTGACTGTATTACAAATGCCTGGTTGCTGTCTCTTTTATTTGAACAAAATATAAATTGCAAGATGTGCTCGAAATACAAAAGAATCAAATGAGCAAAAAATATTCCATATCCTTAAAATAATTCCACACATAAACAAATGTGGCTTTACAGTTCATTTTTGGGCAAACAAAACACTTAATTTAAACATCAGAATGTAAAAAAAAATATATATTATAAGAAATAGTAAACATATAAAAAGTAGAAAAGTATTATGCAAATATGGGAAATATAAGATGCAGCTCTTTTCTGATAGGCCTTGGATTTGCTCAAACAGTAGGCCTACTTGTCTGCAAAGGGACTTGACATCATTTATTAATTCGGATGACATCGATTGATTTTTTGCTGTGGATGAAAAATATGATATGACCACAAGTGAGCACATTTAATCTCACCGGCCCTTCTTGTTTATTGATTTTCTTAAGTGAATGATTTCCTCCACATTGTGTGCGAAAGAGGTCCAGCTATAATAACGATAATTATAATTCAACACGCGCTGGTTTTGTCTTCATCTGCAGCCTATAAGTGGCATGAACGTATAGCATGTGTTCAAAATCAGGCGTCAAACTGCACCTCTGTCCTTAATAATCGGAGGTACGGTGCTGTTTTTATTGATTTGTAGACATTTGAGCAGTACAAATTGCCCCTTCTTTTAGGAAGTTGGGTTCAGCTCGTTCAAGTACAAAAACATGATATTTAGTCAAGTAAGGCAAGGCAAGGCAAGGCAATTTATTTGTATAGCACAATTCATACAGTGATGCAATTCAAAGTGCTTTACAGGATCAAGTAGTCTATTTGTATCGTCTTAGCAGTAAAACGAACCCTCATACAATTACAGTATGCAGTATTTTAGAGATGCATCAATGTGTCATCACAATTTAACTTTTTTTTCTGTCTGTTCAACATACATAAATCTCATATGTTGTGTTATTAGTTATTTGTAAATGAGTGAGGGACTGACTTTATGTCTAAAGGCTTGTGTCTCTGTGTCAGAGATTATAAGAGCATGTAAAACAAGTTGAGTGTGTAAGCAGTTGTGTAACACTAATTTAAACTGTGGACAGATATCAACACTGGTAAGAACAAGCAGTACATTAGAGGTTAGAAAACCAATCTGCAGTGTAATGATTATTAATACCCTGCAGTGTCTAATCTCATCAATGCAGAAAAGAAAAGCATTGCTCATTACAACGACATTGCAATGCAATTGCTTCTATTTTCCAGTATTTCTATAACATGTGAAGGGGCAAGGCCAATTAATTCCAGCACATTAAAACATGTTTTTACTGCTAAAAATAAATGTGTTAATTTAAAATATTCAACTAAGATGTAGGTACAATTTTACTTTGATCTACTCCAGAAGGACACTGGTTTAATGTACTGTACGGAGGACATCTCTTCCAGGATGTAGCTGCTGGTCTCAGTGTGCTGTGGCTCATCTGCAAACCGCTGCCTCCCACCGAGTTAACACTTGAGGGAGCAATTTTCATTTCCTGGCACTCTTGGCCATATTTGAATTTGATTCAATTACAGTGTACATGCCAGCATGTCAGCCCTGCACACCTATTTGAAAAATAAATCATTACATCAGAGTGGGGTCAAAAGAGTGAGTGTATTGCTATTGTAAAGGAATCATTTGTCATCATCATCATCATCATCATCATCATAGTTTTTTAAAGTCAACCAACAATTCTTACATTCTCATAATTTGTATTTATTACATTGACATTGTTATATTTTTTCAACCAATATCATTTATTAAAAACACAACTAACTTACATATATGTTTTCTTTAACTGGCAAAAAACAGTCTCTCCCCTTTGTGTGTGTGTGTGTATCTCACTCACTGACTCGAGTCGCAATGCTTGTTACAATACGCAATTTGATTGGCGAAGCAGCATCACATGAGATGATTAACAACATGTGCAGTTTGAGTTTCCTGGGTAACCTAACTAGTTCTTTAAAGGCTACAAAAGCCATGATTCATCAAAATTGAATAGTTCTCAATCATTTACGGTGTCTATGTCTCAGGGATGATGGAGAGGGAAGGCAGGTTAACAAGAGGGAGGTCTTTTGGTGATTTAGAAAAAAAGCAGGATGCTGACCTCTCTCATCCCCCTCAAATATCCTACGGCTGGTATAGACTAAACCACCTTGCCATCAACATTCATTAAATAGCAACCAGGTTTGGCATCCTCTTCAAAAGTGGTCCCTGACTTATCATCCAACGTTTTGTCCATGTCATTACCTCAGACTTTTTTCTTTAATAATGTTTTAATCCCCAGTGTGGAAACCCTTGAATGTCTCCCAAAGGTAAGGCTTTTAATGAAGGGTTTTTCCTGATGGTTGAATTATTACAGATTGCTTATTTTCTCTCATTCTACTTCTCTTCTTATTTCCCCTGATCCTCCTCCCGAGCAACCAAGTTGAATTCACTATTAAAAGGTAGTCATATATCAGAGGCCATCTTTTGGCACTTCTCCTTGAGGGCTCTGGTTTTGCCTGGAGGTCATCATTGTTCCCCTGGAGTATGTTGTTCTTTGCTTGGACTAAGTTATTATTCTCCTGAAGTACTTGTTGTCTGTAGACGCTGGAGACATTTTGGAAACGGGGGCCGAAGAGGTTCAAGGTTCCAGTTGTTGACCTCTTTTGCATACATTCATTACCTGCAGATCTCTGTTGTTTTTCTAAGGGTCTCTTCTTTTTACTGGAAGAGGCTTGTTATCATACTATAGGCGCCCGTATTCCAGTTTTATTTGTATCGATTTTGAGATATGCATTCCTCCATAGGAGCATATTTTGTTCAGGCAGACTCCTGAAGTGGCAGATTGGCATCAGCTGCTTTATTCATGCGTCCCTAACAGTGGATTATTTATTTGTTGTTTGGCTACCAGCTCACTATATCGTGCAGTCATTGTTTTCTCTACAGTGCCTAAAGATCAGGCAGGACAAAAATGTTATCCTGTATCTTGCAAGTACGTGCATATTTTTCAATAGTTCTGAACAGAGTCACATATGTTTAAATGACCGCAAACCAACTGCCACATACAGTAAAATATAATTGTTTTCCCACGTTACTGTTTATCAATTGAATACAGGAAACAGAAGTTTTCTTTGATTCAGGTTTTTCCTTTCTCTGATAAGTAAACCAACTGTAAAGGTTTTTTTTTTTCATCATGAATACCTTGACATTTGATTCATTTATCATTCATAGTTTTCTGTGAGGTTAGCATATTCATTATGCCAGGAGTTATGCATCAAGCTCAACACCAGCTCAACACCACGCTATTTGGAAGACTAAAGTTTTCTTCATAAATTGATCATCCCATTGAATGCAACTGTTGCTGACATTTGCATTTATGGTTGTCATAGGTCATTACAACCATTTACTACAATTACAAATGGAACATCAGGCTGGATGAATGTCACAAAACATGAAAAATAGAGAAGAAATTAAAAGGCAAAATGAGTAGGATTTAAGAGCAGCAACATAATATGTCAATAAGCAAAAGTTGGAAAAACCAATGCGTATATTTCCTGACATTTTTCTTGGCCTAAAAGTACATATGGTATAATCCTTGTTAAAATCACCAAATCAATTAAGAATCAAACCAGAGGTTACAAATCCCAGACTTTCAAAATGTATTTCTAAAGAAGACAACGTAAGTGGAAATGCCCATATAGAAAAAGCAGTATAGGAACCCATTTTCGTTGAAATGTTTGCCTGTTCTGCAATACTTGTTCCCATTTCTTTGAACAGATTCAACTTTGTGTTGTCAGCACTGCTCAGTTTACTGACGCTAAAGCTCTTCAACTGCTTCCTTTAGCTGAGTATGTGCCTTATCAGAGGCAGAAAAATACATGATGGCATTATCTGGATAAAATGGATAACGTTATTATTCAGAAACATTTAAAATAAAACACTTATAAAGATATTTCTTTGTCAAAATGTATGTTTTATTAGTTGAATAATTGACACAAAGTGGTAAATGTAAGTAAAGGTCATACATGATAGATTTGATTGATGCAAATCATTAATACATTACATTTCATTTAGCTGACGCTTTTATCCAAAGCGACTTACAATAAGTGCAATAAGCATAAAGATTACAAACAAAAACAACGAGACATATTCGCTTCAAATAAGCCAAACTATTGTGAGTGCTGGTGCATTAGTTTGTAATGGGCTAAACCCTAGTTTAAGTGCTAACATTTTTTAGAGGTTATTAGGCATGTTAACTTTCTGTTAACACATTTTATATTCAGAAGTTATGAATGGGATTTCAGTGCAATAGTATTACACAACAGCCAGTTTGTTTTACCCTTTAATGGCCTGCTTGAGCTCGTTGTAGCTAAACATCTTAAAGGCAATCTGTTCAGTGTAGTTCCCCTCTCCACACTCCATAAGACATGCAAACCAACCCTCATCAATGTAAACCAGGTCTGAGTAACCACTGGGTCCACAGTTAATGACCCAGGGAGCGCTCCATTTACTTGGGTCTAGTGGAGATTTATTCACATACACTCCTAAATCCAATCTTTTGGATTTATCACTCGGGTGGGTGAAGAGCAGCCACTTGTTTTGGTTCTGGCTCGATTTCCCCCCTATAATGCCATCTTGATCTGGAAATGAGACAACACTTCCTTGACAGCCTCCACCTGTTTCTACAAGATTTCTTCTACCGCTCAGCTTGGAAAAAACCTCTCCTCTGTCATAACTGATGTCTTCTTCACGATTACTTCCCTTAGTGCGTGCATTGCAGTAGATGAGGCTGTTGTCCGAATGGTCAACAAATTCTGCCATTTGACATTCAAGTGACTCTTTTTTAAGCATTGTGCCAAAGTGCCATGTTTCGCCCTCGTCGTCACTATACAGGGAGACTGCATGCGGGGCAGGGCTTTTGCCAGATATAGAAACATAAGCATGAACTGGGACGATCAATCTTCCACTCTCTGTTTGAAGACCATGGCCTGGCCCGACAGCAAATGTGGCCCAGTGTTTGATTTCATCCAGCGAGTCAGTCAAATCCGTCTCTTCGCTCCAATTTTGACCATTATCTGTAGTCTTAACATAGCAGAGACGAGCTTTGTTGTGGTTATTATCTATCTGCCACTTCTCTGTGCATGTGCCTTCCACACGGATGAAAAACAGGAAGAGTGTTTTGTTGGTCTTCTCATAAAGAGGGCACGGGTTCATAGGACGGTGAGAACATTTCTCGATCAATGTTTTTTGCTCCGACCACTGAAAGAGATATTACGCAAAGTTAAAAATAATGAACATGTCATGGATGAGTGTTGAAAGTATATATTCTCAATTGACATAATAGTAAAACAGTTGCTTGGCATAATTACCTCGATTGTCACTTCCATTTCCTCCTTGTTCACCTTTGGTGTCTTCTTCACCTTTCCTGTCTTCATTACCAATGCCTCTGTGCTAGAATCATCTTCAGTCTTCCTCTTTTCTGCAAATGTCATTAAAATGTTTTCATCTCTATTGTAGAAAAGAGCAGGAATCCTGTACACCTCACTCTTGAAGATGGTTTCCTTTTTATTCACTAGTTCTTTTTGACAAGAGAGTTTGTTGCCCATGGTTGTATAAAATCGTACGGTTACTAAAAGAAGACGTGCAGCTTGCCTTTCCAGGATTATCCAAGTTTGCTTTCTCCTTTTTTTCAGGCTGGTTGGCGAAGTCTGTGAATAGGGGAGGAGCTTTTATGCACAACCTGATGTCTGGTGATAAGAGGAGGTTCATTTCCTTCTTTCCTTCTAAAGAAGACAACGTAAGGGAAATGCCCATGCGTTTTCAAGAAAAAGCAGTATAGGAACCCATTTTCGTTGAAATGTTTGCCTGTTCTGCAATACTTGTTCCCATTTCTTTGAACAGATTCAACTTTGTGTTGTCAGCACTACTCAGTTTACTGACGCTAAAGCTCTTCAACTGCTTCCTTTAGCTGAGTATGTGCCTTATCAGAGGCAGAAAAATACATGATGGCATTATCTGGATAAAATGGATAACATTATTATTCAGAAACATTTAAAATAAAACACTTATAAAGATATTTCTTTGTCAAAATGTATGTTTTATTAGTTGAATAATTGACACAAAGTGGTAAATGTAAGTAAAGGTCATACATGATAGATTTGATTGATGCAAATCATTAATACATTACATTTCATTTAGCTGACGCTTTTATCCAAAGCGACTTACAATAAGTGCAATAAAGCATAAAGATACAAACAAAACAACGAGACAGCAGGTATATTCGCTTCAAATAAGCCAAACTATTGTGAGTGCTGGTGCATTAGTTTGTAATGGGCTAAACCCTAGTTTAAGTGCTAACATTTTTTAGAGGTTATTAGGCATGTTAACTTTCTGTTAACACATTTTATATTCAGAAGTTATGAATGGGATTTCAGTGCAATAGTATTACACAACAGCCAGTTTGTTTTACCCTTTAATGGCCTGCTTGAGCTCGTTGTAGCTAAACATCTTAAAGGCAATCTGTTCAGTGTAGTTCCCCTCTCCACACTCCATAAGACATGCAAACCAACCTCCATCAATGTAAGCCAGGTCTGAGTAACCACTGGGTCCAGAGTTATCACTCGTCGTCACTATACAGGGAGACTGCATGCAGGGCAGGGCGTGAGCAAGATTTAGAAATATAAGCATGAACTGGGACGATCAATCTTCCACTCTCTGTTTGAAGACCATGGCCTGGCCCGACAGCAAATGTGGCCCACTGTTTGATTTCATGCAGCGAGTCAGTCAAATCTTTCACGTCGCTCCAACTTTGACCATTATCTGTCTTAACATAGCAGAGACGAGCTTTGTTGGTGTCATGAGCTATCTGCCACTGCTCTGTGCATGTGCCTTCCACACGGATGAAAAACAGGAAGTGTTTTGTTGGTCTTCTCATAAAGAGGGCATGGGTTCATAGGACGGTATCCAAGAAAGTGTTTCTTGATCACCGTTTTCTGCGCTGACCACTAAAAAAGATATTACACAAAGATAAAAATAATGAACATAGCATGGATGAGTGTTGAAAGTATATCTTCTCAATTGATATAACAGTAAAACAGTTGCTTGGCATAAATACCTCGATTGTCACTTCATGATTTTCATCCTTCTTCACCTTTCCTGTTTTCATCACCTTTGTGCTGCAATCCCAATGCCATTAAGATGTTTTCATCTCTATTGTAGAAAAGAGCAGGAATCCTGTACACCTTCCGGGAAATGAAGATGGTTTCCTTTTTTTTCACTAGTTCATTTTGACAAGAGAGTTTGTTGCCCATGGTTGCGTAACATCATACAATCAAAAGGAGAACATGCTGCTTTTTCGGCCAGGGTTATCAAAGTTAGCTGCTTTTATTTCAGTTTGGGTGGTGCAAGTTTTCAAATAAGGGAGGAGCTATTAAACACAGGTCTGTTGAGTGATAAGTGGGGGTTGATATTTGTGTATAGGTTCTCTAAGAAAGCAGAAGAAAGTCCAGAAAAGAACAGAGAATGGGATAAACCAATAGGGTGAACAATCTACTTATGCATATAACAGGAAATAATGACTAACAGATTTCTCAGTTTTAGCCAGAATCTTTTTTTCTCTTCATAAACATGAATGTTGTATATCTATGAATTTGAAGAGGAGTAAACATGTACTGTTATTCAAAAAAGGCATTATATCTGGTCCAAATGTTTTGCCTATTCACACATGCTGATTTGCAAAATGATAATTGGAGTCATAGTTTAAGCTTTGCTTTTGCCTTTATGAATAATACATGTACAGTATGTATCTGAGATGGAGGACAACTTCAAAACAACAACATTGAAGGCAGTTGCCCTGCACTGGATGAAAGAAAAAGGGAAATGTGTAGCTTCAGGAGTGCCATACAACGGTGTGCTGTGTGCTGCACCATGTCCCAGCCTTCAGCCCATAAATATCACAAATATCCCCCTTTCCTCTTCTCCTCCCACTTCCCTGCTTCTCCTCCCCTTATAACCGCTCCATCCTGCTGCTCAGTATCCAGTGCTGCCTTCAGTGCTAATAAAAAAGCTGACAGGTGCTGGAGACCCAAGCCAGGGAAACAAGAGTTGGAGGGATCATTAATGAGCTCTGACTTGATAACTCTTGAATGTTTCTGGATCAAACCAAGCTAATCTTTCCAAGTACGAACACATCAAAAACTGCCATTAAATTCAAACTGACTGTTTAAACAGTTTTATGCTTTGGCAGACAAAAGGGGGAGACCTGAATCAGCGAAAAACCAACAGCTGTGAAGTGTTTTGAATGTGTTTGCAACAAATGCATTTCTCAGACCTCACATTATGGGTAGCCGGACAGAGTTGGACGGTTCTGTGTCCGCTGCAGTTGGGAAGAGTTAGAATTATTGGGATGACTTGGAGTTTTTTTTTATGTTGGGTGTTGTAAGCCTCCCATCTGAGCATGCAGCTAAGGACCACCCTAGTTGACTCAACTCTCATAAAAGCTCACTCCCCTCACCCACACTCGGTCGTTCCCCCGCTCTAATGTCAGCTCATGAACTTCTGTTTTCTTCTTTGGCTGCCTTGTTCTCTTTTTTCAGTTCTTCTGTGTTCATCATGCTGGTGTTCATGAATGTTGTGCTCCATGAAAAAAATGGAAATTAATAGATATTACATGTAATGGATTTTTTGGGTGATTTTAGAATATGAAAGGCTTTAGCATCTTGGCTCTACCAAGCACAGCTCAGCAGTTGGGAGTTACAATATTAACTCAGAGGGGTGGGGTATAGGATGGGTTTATGAGATGCCATTTGAAAAGCAGTTCTCCAGGGTCATGCAAAAGAAGAAGGACCAGGGCACTAACAATCAATTTATATCGCCAAGATCAAAAGGGTGCAAGGGGCAAACATCATTAAGTGGGAAGAGGAGGACATCTGAGTGTAGCTGAGGTCTGTACACTGGCTTCCTGTGTGTCAAATAGTTGATTTCAAAATACTGCTGCTGGTTTATAAAGCGTTGAATGGTTTAGGGGGCCAAATTACATATCTGATCTCCTGCTGAATTATGGACCATCCAGAACTCTCAGGTCTTCAGGGACTGGTCTGCTTTCTGTCCCCAGAGTCAGAACTAAACAATGGAGAAGCAGCGTTTAGTTATTATGCTCCAAACATCTGGCACTAACTACCAGAAACCTGCAGGTCCTGCAACTCGTACTCTGAAATCCAGGCTGGAGACTCATCTTTTTGCCGCTGCTTTTAATTGAACTATTCATATCTTACACTGCACTGTAACTTTTATTCATGTATTTTATACCCGTGCTATTCTATATTAGCTTGTTTTATGTTTATTTTATTATCTTTGCTTTATAATGACTGTTCTTAAAAGCCATTTCATAATGTGTTTCAGCTGCACTATTTCTTAATGCTCTTAATATCTTTCATTTTTGTTAAGCACTTTGAATTGCCTGGTGTTGAAAGGGTCTGTATAAATAAACTTGCCTTGCCTTGCCTGGGCAAGCTGGCAGGCTTTGATTCATTTCATCAAGTCTCAATCATGTCACTCCATATTTAGTTGTGTTATATCAGTTGGGACATCTTCTTTCACATAAAGTCTCGTCAGTTAATTCCAAAAGAATCATTTTCTTTCCTCAAGATTTTTTTTGTAGTCTTCTCTAGATTTGTACCTTTTCATGATCCCTTGATTTTTGCTCTGACAGACATTGTCCGCAGTAAGACCTTGTAAAGACAGGTGTGCGGCTTTCCAATTCATGCCCAATGAAAGATGTGTAACGGCGGACACAAATCAAGGTGAAGAGAGATAATTAACGTAAATAGGAGGCACCTTTTTGACTGTTTCAATTGGTTTAGTTGTATGGGGGCATCATTTTAGGAGATGGGTAGCACAAGGTGAACCTGCAGTTGCCCACTGCTAATCCAGCATTGTATCAGGATATATATTAAACATTCTCAAGGTTTACAAAGCAGTATCGTAAAACCAAACATTTCAACCATCTTTGGGTGCTAATATGGGTCTGGGCTCATATTTACACTTTTATACTACAAAAACTAAAACGTTGACTTTAATTAAATGTATTATGTCAACAGATTTCACATAACTGTACTAGGTTAGTTGAAAGCAACAATATTACGTTTTAATAAAAAAGATTAGGTTAACTAACCTAATACAGTTATGTTACATTTGTTTACATAATACATTTAACTAAAGCCAACGGTTCAGTTTTTTCAGTGTACTCCCCTTAACTGCACGTCTCGTAAACCGACTGTAATTGCTTTCTGTCCCACAGTAAATTGTTGATCAAACTAAAGGTCAACATAACGTTGACATCAGAACACAGGAACAAATGTGTGGAACCAATCTTCAATAAATTCCAAACTGATTGGCAACCTGTAACAGACATAAGTGAACATTCAGGCCCGAGTCATCTGTGCAAGCTCAGCGCAGCCCCCTTTGAACCATAATCCCCAAAACACTCACTCACACAGCACAAGGCCTCAGTGGGCAGTATCACAACCACACACAATGCTAGGATTCACTTCAAAAACAACAAAGACACGAAAGAAAGAATATGCACATGTGCGGAGAAGAATACTCTTTCATAAAACCAAATTGAAAGACATGAAACAATTATGTCCCGACATATGGATGCCAGATTTGTAGCAGATTTCCAAATAATACAGATAACACGTCCTGTTTTTTAGAAAGGAAGGAGGAATGGGAGGGGAATAACAATGTGAGGAACTGCTGGTGACAGGCAGCAGCAGTAATAAGTCATCAGGTGGAACACACACTAAATGCTTTTTTTATTCAGATTTTCTGCCAAAGCAAACGCGTAATAAAACTACACTAACACTGCTCTCAAAATGCATTTGCATACAAATTAAACATCCCACTTTTGAGGGAAAGTTAATTGTAGACCAGACAGGGAGAAAGCATGTAATATTTGTTCTTGAGTGGAAAGCAGTGGAAATTGCAGACTTGCGTTAGATTCCTGTTTTACAAAAGTAATTTTCTTGCAACGTTAATAATCATGAATGGTGGCAGTGTCATGTTTCAAATGTGTCCTGCAGGAATCATAGCATTCTACTGTCTAGGTCTTAACTGTGGTTTTTTGTTTTGAGAAGTGAAACATGTAGAAAATCTCGTGTTGCAAATAGGTCAAATATGTAATAATGATTTTGTTCACTTTAATCCCATTATTAGGAACGTATTTTTTTTCCATAAACAAGATGTACGCTATGTAGCTGGTGATTGCTTTTTATATTCAAAATGTGAGCAATGTGAAATAGATAGTGATGAATCTGCAGCTCCTCTCTACTGTTGTGATTGACTCTTAGCTGTTTTAAGTGTAAAAAGCTCTGAAAACCCACTGTGCACTACAAGCTCAGCACCAAGCAGCACATAGACACAGATGCAGACTTGCTGTTGGATGAAGTGGAGCATTAAGCAGCTAAAGAGACAGATATTTTCCTCAGGAGTTTTAAAGACAATAAAAAAGCGCTAAAATAAATGTTATGTCATTGTAGGCCTTCAACAAAAAGCTTTTAGTGATTTAAGTGACCAGCAGCAATTAAGAGTTCATCTCATTCATAGTGTATATACGTACAGTATGCATCTAACGCTTGAACTATTACATTTAGCATAAACAATGCAACAAAACAAATTAATATTACATTAAACATGACTCAAATGAATGATAATGTTCCTGTATGTGTAAAATAAGTGACCCTTCGCAAGTTCTCCTATTAACTCATGAAAATATATGCTGGCCAACAAAAAAACAAAAAAACTGATCGGAGCTTTACCATTTATCCTGTGGATCACAAATGTACTGATTTACTGTAAGAGTTGATGCTTTGAGACATCCTGTCCAGGTTTAAACCTTCCACCACATTGTGCACTATATTATGTAAAAGCCACACACATACAGAAAGGCTTCTCATATCGGTAAGTTCTTCTCTATTCGCTGTCCAAGTAATTACACAACATTGAGTTTTTAAAGAAATTCAGCCACTTTATCTTCCAGAATTTATTGCTCTATAACTTTTGTGCTAAAGTACGTTTCACAGCTAGGCTTCGAAAGAAAAACAACTTTAACAGAGCGAGGCGGGATACAAATCTAATAGCACCCAATAACCAGAACATGATAGAAAAAAAGCCTGTAATAGCTCCAGGTAACACCAAAGGCGTGGATTGAGGACTCAGCTATCCAAGTGTGTTTGCCTTTTGGGTTCGCTGGTTTAACTTTATATCTCTTCAGAGGGGGAGCTCTGGGGTAAAGTGAGCCAGTGGGTAGAAATATGAAGGATCAGGGAAAGGCACTGTA